TAAATGAAATGAGAGAATAAAACTGTAAATGAAAAAAAAAAATTGAGACGATCTAAAATGATCCATTTCACAGACACATCCCCTGATTTAATTTAAGACAGAGATGATGATAATAGTCATAATAATAATAAATAAAATAACGATGAGATGCGACTTTTCTTGTGTGAATTTTTCACAAGCATTAATTGTAGCTGTCATAAGCTATTAATGCATCATAATTCAGATATTAATTGGCACTTTGATGGAACTTGGATAGTGATTTAATTGTGTCTAATTGCACACAATTTTTTAATTGTTTTTGAAATCTTCATGAAAAACTTTGTACTTTTTGCTCTTCACTTATTTTTCGTTGTCTTCATATTGTCTATTAAATAAATGTGAGAATGAGGCATTGCATGCTCCGTCAATTACATTTTCATGTACTGATGCCTCAAAAGTAGAGAATTTACTTGGAATAGGGATTCTGATACATATTTAATGTCTTTTATTAAGTGCGAAATGATCGTTATTGAAATTTTCCAAAATGGCGGGAAATTTTTTCATCTGAAGATTTTCTTGATTAAAATTAGGCTCAATTTAGCATTATTCTTGATCTAAAGCAGTGCACAATGTTAATTAGAAGTGAGCAAGACATTTAGTCTTACAATAACTTGTCAAAAAGCTCTGAAAAAAGAATGTTTTAAATTTTCCTCATTCGGTTGCAATCCCAACTTCGAACCCCTACGATCAAATAAAAAACGTTCTATTTCATTCATTCATTTAATTTTAACGGATGAAATGCGCTTTATTTAATGATAAATTTATGCAAAAAGAAAGGAAAGAAGAAGTTATTCAGTGTGCTTAATGTGCATTTAATGCAATTATTATCTCTCTTACCTTCATTTAAAATACTTACTATATACAGCACATTTGCGCCCTCTTTTCGTATTCAACTGATTGACGTCAGGTGCATCATCATCCAGTTCAGTTCAGAGTACGAAAACAACTTAACGAATGAATGATTTTCGGTAATTCTCTCATGAGGGACTTAAGTGTCTACTTTGTCTGCTGCTTATTCAGTATTTAATTCCAATTTTCGTCCATTTAATGGAAATTATTATGGCAAATGATTTGCCTTGTAATTCTTTATTAAATGTTATGGATTTGACTTTTTGTGTGAATTAAAGTCTTTATCGCAGGCCGCATAATGAATATCTAATTAGTGGTCATTGAGATTTAGTTTGCACATTCTTTTGGCCGTATAGTTTAGTTCCTCGTACAATAAATAATTATAAAAATGCAAAAAAATAGTTGATGGGTGCTACAGCAGCAAACATAATATATTCATTAAACTAGGTTGGAGCGATTTGTGGCACTTAGCAGTTAAACATAAATCTCATAACTACTTAACAATTCATTTATTCACCATCGGCTCAAAGAATTAATTCATTTTATGCTCGCTTAGTTGGTGATTTGTAATTCAGAAAATGATATCGTGTTAGCATCAGAAAATTTATTCAAGTTTCCGTACAATTTTTTCTCTCTCTTTTTTTAAGCTTTATTGTTTCAAATAAAAATTATAAAAAATAACAATATGATGTGTCTATGTACACAGTTGATGACTTCTGAATTTAGCGTCATTTTTTAAATTCAACACGATTAGATTCGGATCAAAAGGAATTTTGGAAGTTGTCACTCAAAAGTTTTGAGTTTGTTGTTTAATTTGCCATTTTATTGCAATGAATATTAGTGATTTACTGCTTAAGGTAGTTAATTGGACTGTATTTTGCAAACTGAAGCTAAGAATTAACGAACAAAGATGAAAAATGTTAAGTTGAATTGGAAAAATCTGATTTTTTTAAAAAATTGCTGAATAAAGCTGAATTGAGATGATTAGAGCTGAATTGAGCTGGTTAGAGATGAATTGAGGTATTTAGAGCTGAATTTAGCTGATTTGAGCTGAATAGAGCTAAATTGCAGCTGAATTTTCAGCTTAATTAAGTTGAACTGAGCTGAATAGCGCCTTATAAAGTTAAATTCAGCTGATAAGTGTTGAATTAAAGTTTTCAACCAGTTTGCAAGTGCTTAATATATTTGAAAATTATGCATATTCTTCCTAAAGACTTTCCCAGCTTCTTCTTCATCAACATTAAAGTCCCCACAATAACCTTTTTGTATTCCAATTCAAATCTTTTGCATTATATTATTAAAAACAAAACAAACTTCATATTTTTTTCAAACGCAAAAAACAATTGAAATAATAAAAAAATGATTAAAACGAATACTTTTCATCACGCGATATTTATTTTCTGCAAATCTCTCACCTGTAACGTGCATAGTTAATTTTTTAAAAATAAATACTCTTTATGAATATGAAACATGAACACTTCGCAATTTTAACAATCACACTCACACCCATGTTACTCATTTTAATTTTCATCTGTGCGAAAAATATGTTGTTGAAGATAAGCGATCAGAGTATATTAAAGAGGTGAAGTGAGAGATAGAATGATGATGTTTTTGATGCAAGGGATGGGTACTTGGTGGATTTTGAGGTTATTTTTTCTAAGTTCAACATTATTTGCTGAAGTAAGGAACCAACCTTGGAGCTTAATGCATCTGCCATTCATCTAGTAATATAGTGAATAACACTAAATAACCTAGTCATCAAGAACCAAAAATCACAAAAACAAAACACTAAGCACACCTTGTCTTGGAAGTTTACTTAAGTTAACTCGATTTTTCATTACTTACTTTATTTCACTGCTTATTGTTTCCTCTGATAATTGCAAATGAATAATAATTTCCTTCTTGCAAATCATTAAAACTTTTTTTTCTTCTTTCCTTCTTATTTGTTTGCTTCTTTTGAACATTCTTCCATTCATTTAAGTAGTGTACAGCTTTAGTCTTATTCATCACGTATATTGTTGAACGATTCGAGTAAAAGAAGGTAGCGGAAAGTGAACAATTATGAACGATAATCTTTTTAGATATATTATTCTATGTGTATATATACTTAATATGTAGCTAGATACGATTTGAGCTTAGCATTGCTCATGTATGTATATTGTTATGTATTTCAATTAGAAATGGGAAAGAGGGTAACAACACAGGCAATGATTTGCATTAATTTTATGGTTAATGTGAATTGTGCATTTTTATTGAGCTATTTTCAAGCCATTTCCATGTAAAGAAGTTTGTAAATAGTACAAAGAAAAAAGGGGAGAAAATCGATGAAAATAAGAATGTGAGAAACTTAGGACTCAATTCAACTCCACGAGTCTCGTTAAACTGTTCATTTTGTTAATTAAAATATCAGAAATGAATACGACTAAGCTGAATAAAAAATTATCAGGTGCTGCCGCTATTTCACGAACATAAAAATGTAATATAATAAAATAAGCAGCAGTAGCACTTCCATATTTATTCATTGTTATACTTTACGACTTGTTAAGTCATTTTCTTCTTCTTTAACTTTTACTTCGCGGACGAAAATTCAGCTTAAATAATCAAATGACTAATTATACTTTGGTTAGCTGAATAAATTGGACGGTAATTTTCAAGAAATGACTGAATGAGATTGGAAAGATCCCATGTTAAATTGGACTGTGTATTCATAGATAAGCTTCGACATGAAACTCAAATTTTCTAACCTGAAACCGCAGCGTAAAAATGATTCAGTTATATAATTTTTGGAAATAGTCTGTCATTTATTGGTTTTGATGACTTTTTAATGCAAAAGGTTTTTTTCCTGAACGCACAATTGATGCGAAAATTTTTCTGAACACACAATTGATGCAAAATATTTTATTGAACACACTCTGGATCTGAAGATTTTCTGAATGCACTTTTGATGTTAAGATTTTTTCTGATGCGAAGATATTATTTTACTGAACACACATTTGATGTGAATCTAAAATGCGACTTGGTTGTGACAAACTCAACGGTCAACACGTCTAGTACTTCTAATAATTTCATACAAGAGTTATAATTTCAGACTAATTTATGATAATTAAATTAATAGCTTTTTTAAGAGAACAATTAGAAATTTTTTTCTAACATTCAGCGCTGCTATTTATCTTATCTACCCTCTATGATCTTTTACTTCTATTTTACAAAATCAACTTGACTATGACGTTTAAAATACTTCTTTAGCAGTTTAACAAAAGTTTTAGTATTTTTTTTTCGGTTCTTCACGAACTATTAAATATTTAATATCTGTTGGGGAGAAAGACAAGTTTTGAAGGCATTGATGACAAGAAGGGATTAATGTGCATGTGTTTGGTTGATGAATTGGGTCTTTTTTTGACAGATGGGATTTTCGGTTCAGAATTTATGCTTAATTGCTTAAATCATGCAAAGATAAATTACTGAACGTAGAACTGATGCAAAGATAAATTACTGAACGTAGAACTGATGCAAAGATAAATTACTGAACGTACCACTGATGCAAAAGTTTTTGCAATTTTACGTCCATTTTAAAAAAAAACTTTCATGTCACCAAAGTTTAACCACCACGGTCACGAGTATAAAGCAACAACAAAGGTGTTCTTTTCCCAATAAAATTAGTCTGAATGATGAATGGAAAAGGAACTAAGAACTGATAATGATCTCTATTTAATTTTTTACTGTTTCATGTTAAGTTAAATATGAAAAATTCATAGTGTGCCCAAATTACTTTTAATTTCTATGTTCTCTTGAGCGTAAAACAATTCGAAGCGTTTTGTTGTCGAGAAGAAAATGAACAAAACAAAAACAAAAAAATTTTAATTTTCAGTACCCACAAAAACCATTCTGCAGTATTTATGCATGAACATGTTCTCATGTTTGTATATATGGCAATAAAAGGGGACGCTAATTAAACGCGAAAAGGAAAATGAAATTTAAATAAAAATTAAATTTGACAATCTCTATCACACATCCGTTGTAATTTGAAAGTAGATTAAAATTTTAAAAAAAACCATTGTGTATAATTGAATTAAGATAAATAAGCTAATTAACTTTATTGTTTATTGTTACAGGTGGAAAAGACGACGATGGAAATTTCAAAAATGGTTTAACATCTGGACTTAGCAAAAAGCAACGGAAAGCAAGAACAGCTTTTACAGATCACCAACTCCAGACTTTAGAGAAATCATTTGAGCGCCAGAAATATCTTAGTGTACAGGATCGAATGGAGCTAGCTAATAAATTAGGATTAAGTGATACGCAAGTGAAAACGTGGTATCAGAATCGAAGGTATGTAAATGTTGACTTTTAATGCAAGAAGTTTTATTTTCGTGGGTTCAAAGAGTTGGATGATTTGACATGCCTTAAAATTTTAAAATAATCCTCCATTTTTAAAAAAAATGAAAATGAAAATTTAGCAAATTTTAAAGAAATGTGAGTTGAAATCTTGATATACTTATCTTTGCTCACTCAACATTAGCTAGATTCATCCAATTAGAGCATAATCAAGTCAAAAATAAGATGAAATTCATCACCTAAACTTTCGAGGTGACAAAAAATTTACATATTATTATGAAAAATTCTCCAACTCTGCAACCAAATCCAGCATATAACAAATAAGTAAGCGAATAACTCAGAAAATAAACAAAAAGAAGGAAAGAATTTGATTCGCACGAATTTATCTTTAAATGCTTTGTTTTAATTTGCTTTTACCGCCCATAAATTCCAATTTTTCAATTTTTCTCATCATCCAAAAAAAAAGAGAATTAAAAGCAAATAAGGTTCACTTAAACTGTGAAATTCCTTTGTTGTAGGTTTAGCTATCAAGTTGTGGATGAATATTGGGAAAGAAATTTATTTAAATATTGATTTTTCTGTATAAAAGCGTAAAGAATTACAAAAGAATCGATTTTTTTTTCCATTTATTTGAAGAACATGATTTTAAGAAAAAGCAATTTTCTACGTGATTTACTAGCTACTTATTTGTTTTGTGCTGCATAACACATATCAAGTTCTATTTTTACCAACGTTCATTGCCTCGTGGTTATTTTTACAAATGAGAACTAATCAATGTTTTTTCCTTTATTTCTCTTCCACTTATTTCCACTAATAGAACAAAATGGAAACGACAAACAGCAGTCGGATTAGAGCTATTAGCGGAAGCAGGAAATTATGCAGCATTTCAGAGACTCTATGGTGGTCCACCGTATATTGGTGGATGGCCTTATCCTCAAGTACCTTCTGGAAATCCAACGAGTACAGTTGATCTCTATTATCGTCAAGCTGCGGCGGCTGCAGCTCTACAGAAACCTCTACCATATCGTATCTATCCGGGTGCAACAGGGTTGTCACCACTTGGAATTCCTGGACCTAGTGCAGCTCAATTTCCTCATCTAACAGCTTCAAATTCTTTATCGAGTTTAAGTAATTATTATAGTAACAATAATAACAATAATAATAGTAAGGAAAATAATAATAATAGTAGTAATGGACCAGAGACCCCAACTAGACGATCCCCGAGCCCCACATTAAATCCTGGAAGTCCTGAAGGACGATCCGAGAGTAACTCCCAAAGTGATAATGAAGATACAATCCAAGTTTGAAAATAAGTTTAAAATTTCTTGTGATTATAAAATAATTTTATATTTTTTCCTAGTTCTTATTTTTATTGGCTATAACTTAATTAATTTATGTTACAATGAATATTGATATATTAAGAGAATAATATGCTACTGTCTTATACCTGAAAAATGCTCATTTTTGATATAAGAAGAATTTTTAAATGGAATGAATTTTAGAAGTGAATGAAATAGAATTTTAAAAGTTTTAAGGATGAATTTCAAGCATTACAAATGAGAAATTTTCATTTTCATAACCTTTAAATTTAATTTTATTTGTAGGTTACGTAAATACGTACGTAAAAGTTTATATTAATTTTTTACGTACGTAAAAACGCGCAGAACCGTACTTTTTCGTTACAAAACTTTTTCAAATTCAAAAAGTTCGTTAAATTATAATTTTTGAAAATTAAAATGCATAAAAACTTGTGGCAATAAATTTTAAATTTTAATCCATAAATTATCGCATAAAATACAGTAGCAAAGCATTTTTGTAAAGAAGATTAAGGCGTAAATAGATGGAATATAAGTTAAAATACTTATAAAACAAATAAATGCTTTTACACGATTATGTTTACTATTCAAATTTTTTTGATTAAAGGTTTTTAGACGTTAAAAGTGTAAATAAATATTTTATTGAGTAAATCAATAAAGGAAAAGAAAAAGTAAAAATAACTATTTGTGACTTAAACATAGCATTTTTCATCCGCATATTGAAATTATACTCAAATATGGCAATTAATGTAAGCCAAGTCACCCTCTCAACCCTCAATTCATTCGGAAGTAGCGTTATCATGCAATTTGTAAGCACAGCGACAACGTAAAAGGACTTTTAATTGTTTTGTAATTTTCATTTTTCTCCAACACACAATAACAGCCCTTGCTTGCTCGTTCACTTGATTTTCCTCTGATTTTTCCTCTCCTTTTGTGTCGTGTAAGCACATTTCGACATGAAAATGTAAACGCAAATTTAGATTATTATCGGTAACACAGAAAATTTACCACATAAATCGTCCTATAGCACACTTAAAATTCACAGTTAACTGTTATGTTAAATACTTTCCTTTTAAGCTAAGAAGGAAAATTGGTATTAGTGCTTTTTTACTTGATTTAGTGTGGTATGAAGCGCAGTTTTAGAAGCGTTGGAAATTTTTCAGATTTCACCCCTTATCGACGGTCTTAAAATGTTTTATCATCAACTTTTCTGACATGTTGAGCTAAACCAGCTATACTTTATGTAAGTGGTTAAATTCAACGGATTTTTGAAATTAAAATTTTTATAAATTTTTCAGATTTGATTTTTTTGGCATTTTAATGTTTCAAAATTCTTTGAAAATCTACCATCAAATTTGGCAAATATATACTTAGTCATCACTAATGACTAAAGAGCAACCAATTTCACATATATAATGCATCAGAACAACCCAAAATGACTATAAACACGATGAAACTACATCCCAACCTCAAAGTCTATAGCTAATAATCCTTAAGCGATTATTTCTTTCGAGAATATAATCACAGAAAACTTACAAGTCCTTTTTGTGTAGTTTAGCGATCATTAATGAACAATTTTTCATTTTCAGAACACGACAAGTTTTCAAGCTAGCAACATTCTATGTCTAAAATCAGCAGAAAACTATTCCGAAATCATGTTCAATATTTTTTGTTACAAAAGCTGCTCATGTTAAAAATTAATAAATTAAATTCCAGCTCATGATTTATTGGCATCTCATTTCTCATTTGCATTTCACAGCAATTTACTTAAACGGAAGGCTTAGCTTAAAAGCCATTTATTGTAGTGCCAAGTAAAATATTACACGTGCAAAAGTGCTAGACGGTATGCGATAAGCGAACGACAACGAAATTTTTGTTAATATTTCATTTCATGCTAATGATATCGCAGTTACTTTAATATATTATATAAAATATGTTCAAACATAAACTTTTGTCGATTATGCCGATATCTTGCCAAACTACCTGTTTATGGATGAAAACATTTTTCATAAATGAGCAATTTCATCCGAAATTTTTGGTGCCAGAACTGCGCATGATCTGAGATTTTTTTTTTGTGTTTAAACGACAGCAATTTTCACAACAATGGTGTGTACATAAATTCTTTTTTCCCTCTTCTCTCTCGTTTACTTTTCTTTACATAAATTTAAATTGACTTCGTTTCATCGAATGCTGAACTCATCGAAATTCTCTTTCTTATATAAGTTTTTTGGTATGAGTTATGAGGAATATATGATCAGATTTTAGAATTAGATTTTTTATCACAATTGATGAAATTTGATATGGTTGTGTATGTGAATGTGTGGGTAAGTTATTTAAATATTACTGATTTGCATTTATTGTATGAATTAGCATTGAGGGTGGTTTCAAATAGAATCGTTCATTGTTAAAATCAGGAGTGCCTATTAAAAAACCGAATTTGAATAACTTAATTTTGCAGGTAACGGTAATTTCAAAAATTTGAAAATTATGCGAAGAAAAAAAAATTCGAAAAAAATGAAGCAGACGACAAAAAACATTTCAAATTTTTGAAATTCGGTTTTTAATAGGCACTCCAAAATCAGAGTTACGTCAAAATCAGAGAGAAAAAAATCGAAATTAAGTTCGAAAACTTCGAAATTAGTTTCAAAAATTTGAATTTATTTTAACCGATAAGAAATGTAAACAAACACAATTTTTTGTTTTTAAAAATTATAAACTGTGTGGATCTGAAGAATTACATTTTGATAAATTTTGATTATTTTTGATCATTTTTGATCAATTTTGATTTTTTTTGATCATTTTTGATCTTTTTTTTGATCATTTTTGATCAATTTTGATTATTTTTGATCATTTTTGATCATTTGTTGATAATTTTTGATCGTTTCATCAGTACCACACCCTTGGTTTATGTTGCGTTTTACTATTGAAAACCAACTTAATCATTAAAGTTTATATATGAATATTCTTTTTATTTTCAACGGTTTTTGAATTTTTAAAATAAACTGCCATTATATTTTAAAAAAAAATCGAGCAAGATTTTTTTCTTTCAATTGTTTTTCTAACGATCATATTTCGAAATGGCTTAACTCTTGTCCTAATCGTTTGAAAGTTGACGGTCTTACCACTAATTTATATCTTGTGGTTATGTACTAGAGTCTTACATCCTTCACAGTACATAATATCCGGATGAAAAAATTTTCAATAAAACTACAAAAAAGCTACATTTCTAATTTTCTTTAAAAATAAAAAAAAACATGAATCAATTCTACAAAAAACCATCTTTTTGTCATCTTAAATAAAAATTTACAGCTCTAGCTGTCTATTTCATAAAAAACAAAATTTCTATCATTTTACTATCATCAGTTCCATTTGTGTATTCATATTCCATTATATGCTCATCCAATTTTCATCCCAAAAAAGGCAATCAACAATCGAGTATAACGTAAGAGCATTTACAACAGAATGTCCAAAAAGCAGCACACACAAAAAAGGGCGCACATAAAAATTCCATTAAAGGCTAGATGAGCCAAACAAACAAATAACTGCTCATATACATAAAAGTAAAGCTTTTACGATAGAAAAAAATAATCAATAAAAATTTTTGTACCCCAAAAAAAAGCACTTCATCAACATCATCCTCGTAAAAACTGATAAATACATCACTTAGCATTTTTTTTTATATGTTTCCAGATTTTTTTTCTCTCTCATTTGTTTTTGGTTTTCTTTTCTCAAACGAACAGAAAAAAAAAATAAAATGTTTTTATGTATTTTCATGTAGCTTGAGTCAAATATATCTACATGTATCAAATGTGCAGACCAGACAATAAACTCGTTTTGATACTTTTTTTTTTCCTCTTCATTCAATATTAAAATAGCACTTTTCCATTGGTTAAAGAGTCATTATGGAAAAGAGCATAAGCTCCTCCTTGTTTGTTTGCTCATTCAATAAAGTGCTTCTTTTACAGTTAAACGTTTCTTTTTTTTCTTCACTCCACATTCATCTCACTTTTCTTCTTCTTCCTCTCTACTTTTGCTGTATTATTCTTTTTTATGTGTGGATTTATATGCTGTACAATCGTTCAACGTCAATTTGGTTGTTGTTGTGAATGTGCTGTGCTGAGATAAATGATTGAGATTCGATTCTTCTTCTTAACGGACATTTTTTATTTGAAATTTTTCTTGAGCTGATATTAATTTGAAATCTTAGAAATCGTTGAAATTTTATATTTGTAAAATAATTGTGAATTGAAAGTTTTAAGAAAATTCCAAGATGAAAGGAAGCAAGAATAAACATTAGAAGCAATTTATCTTGTCAAATAGTACTTAACACGAACAAATTAAAGTGGAAATCGAGAAAAAAAATCACTTTTCTTTGTATTTGTGAATATTTTTTCAACTTTACTTGTGTGCGTGTGAAGTAAGATTGTGTTGGTGCTTTTGATACTCATTCTCACTACTCAACATTTATGAAAGAAATATTGTGTATCACCCTAAAATGTTTAGTTCGCTTTCAGCTTTATTGTCGTGTGGATATTTAATATTAAACTTAAATAATATTCATGTCTAGAATATTTTTACGTCAACAACTAGGCAAAGAGTCATTAGATGAACAAACAAAACAGTCGATTACTGTTATCTATTTAATGAGTAATTAATTGACTCATTTTATTATTAATTCATTAGCCTCAAATGAAACTCATTGAGTGATAATAGACAACAAAATAGTTTATAGCTAGTGTATATTATGGATCAAGAGAGCAATTAAACGATCGAACATGAAAATGAGGTGTCAAGTCACTAATTGATGATTGATTCATAATAAAGACTTCAACTTGATCTAATTTCGTCAGAAACAGAGAGCAGTTACAGGAGTGTAAAGAGCTATTAATTAATTGTGAAAATTAACATACAAAAAAAAGTAAAGGAAGAAAGAATATAGTGAGCATAAATGCTAATGTGTTTACGACTGTGTGAGCATAAAGAATTGTGTTAGAAGTTTGTGGAATGAGTGAAGGTGCAAAGAAGCATTAAATTATTATAAAAGCTCTTTAGTTCATACACATCATGTGCTGGATTGTGGAAAGAAAAATTGTGAATTAAGTCAGTAGACAAAAGAGGAAGAATTTAAAAAAAATATTTAATTCCGTGAGCTCAACTGACTGTAAAATTCCTGAAAAAAAAAATACTTTTAAATTCTTGCACATCTTTGAGATTATTTGATGAGTCGACCGAACGATTTAATAAGCTCGGTATCTGAAATGACGATTTTAAGGCAATCACAAGGTGGATCAATGGCTGCATATCAACCTCCACGATCAAAATTTATGATCCACGATATTCTCGGCAGTAATGGAAAATTTAATCCAGCAAGTGATGACAGAACGCCGAGTCCGCAAGCTAAAGATCTCAGTTTATTCCTCAACTCAATACCTGAACATGATGATGAGAGTGATTGCGATTCAAGTAAGTAATGGCCGTCGGCTAAGTTTGTTTTTGGGTGAACCAATATTTTTTTATTTTTTATTTTGTTACTAAATCACATCAAAATTCATTATGGAAGTAATTTATTTACTTACTTAAGCTTAGGCAAGGAAAAATGAGCGTGGAGCTCTAATTTATTCATAAAGCTATAACAATTTATTACTGACCGATTAGATATACATACATTCAATAACATTAAAATTTATACAGCTGTAATGTATACGTGTTATAATTTAATGGGTGAATAATTTCAAATTAAAATGAAGCCAGAAATGCTTAATTATCATACGAGATTAATACCTAGACATAAGGTGAATCTTAATGTAGCTTGCGCGGTGATGAAAAAAATGGGAAATTTTAATTTTTTTTAAGTTTTTAACGGTAAAGAAATTTTTGAACTTTATGAAAAAAAATCTGCATCTAACTTCACTTCGAATTATGTTTTTCAAATTTTAAATAACCGTTATAAAATATTCTAAACGTTTCTGAGTTTTAAGAGAATTTAAATAATTTGAAGGTGTTTTCGAATGTTTTTTTAAACTATAAAGATTAAATGTACTTAGTTCCTCGATTCTGATGATGTTATTCACCAATTTATTCAATTCAGATCACAAAACAGCAATTATTCATCTTCTGACCACTCACACGCACAAATTTTCCAAGAAAAAAAAAAGCTTTCCGAAGATGAACAACAGCACATGAAGTTGATTTGATTTATGATTGAGTTAATGAGATTTTTTCATTAAGATTATGGATTAAAAATCATGTAGCGTGAATTCTATCAGTTTTAAAAGTAGCAAAATAGCGTTTACCACCCCTTTTTGAGCTTGAATAATAATGAATAAGAAAAAAAGTACGCTTTAGAAAGATTATCGCACCTTTGGAACGCATACAATGGGTCATTTAAGATTAGCATCGATAAAATAAATTATTTTCTGTTTTTAAGGTTTGAAAAAATAGTTTTAAATGCTCAGCAAATCTGTAAATTGTGATAATAAGAATAGGATTTTGTCTATCAGAATTCGGAATCTTTTGAAGCTTAATGAATTCAATTTGCTACATTTTCGATTTTGGTTAATTGGCGCTCCAATTTTTCAATTTTAACTATTAAAGTTCTAATTTTAGTTGAATCAATTTTTGATGATAAGACTTGTAGATTCAATTAGACTCAATATTAAACTGATTTGAGAGTTTTGGGTTAATTGATATGTTTTGATGCTGTTCAGTTTAGATTTTTGAATATTAATTTTTATTTTATTTTCAAAAAATTCCAAGGTTAGAATTCAGTTGCATCCCTGTTTGTAGGAGGGGCGGGGAGATATTTATTAATTATATCCAAAATCTATTAAAACAAAGAACATACATTTTTATAACCGTAAAATCCAAAATTTAAAAATTTACAAGATTTTCAGAAAAATAGTCAGAATCGAAGCTCATATTAAGTCTCAAAATTTATTCATCCCAATTCTCATTTGGACATTATCATCAAAACTGTAAATCATCGATCCATTTAAACGTGATTCACAAATTCTGTGGTTTTGTCACATTCCACAACTAATTTCTTATCAGCGATTTTATAAAAGCATTTGCTACATAAAAAAATATTAGCAGAATTTAAAAAAATATATAAAAATTTTAATATTTCCATTTCGAGCTAATAAAATTGACCAATAAACTAAATTTCACACTATGAAATCCGTGTGACTTAATGAGATCAGCAAAATAAACATAATAAAAAATTATCATAATCTAAAATAACACAATCGAGAGGACTGATAGACATGCTGAAAATAAATGAGAGACATAAAGAGTGAAAAAATGTCACAATAATTGAAAGCTAATTTGTATAATTTAAAGCAAATAATAAAAATAATAATAACATCGCATTATATTGATTATTTATGATAACAGTAAATTATCTTTATATCTCGCATGTGATGAAAGAGGGAGAGAAAGGTGGATTGAGAGCTTGTGCTGAATTATTGTCAAAAGATTGACTTTTGAGTCACTTTGAGTGTCATAATTTTTCAAAAATCAAAAATTCATTTGAAAATTTTCAAAATGAAATATTTTTGAAAAACCGTTATAAAAAAATTCAAAATTTCTTCAAATTTGAATATCAAAAGTTCGTTATATTTTGTTGTCAACAAACCAAAAATTATTTTCAAATTTTAAAAATCCGTTACAAAGCAAAAAATTAATTTTTGGACATAATCCATCAAAAATGCACTTCATACCCTCAAAATCATCAATCTTTTACAACATGCCAATTTATTGTTGCTACTTTTATTGCTTTCATGACATAACATGCAACAATAATTTGAAATGAAATTTTTTTTCTGCATTATTTTGATACACTTTTAGTTTCCCATTAATTAAAGCATTTTTTTGTTTTTGTACATTTTTTTTTATATTCGAACAAAATTGAGGAAGCAGATGCGAAACAATTATTTTGCATTGAATGAAATAAAAATTGGTAATAGCGGTAAAAGTGGATCATAAAACTTACAATGTAAAGAGAATTGCCAGCCTTATATTTTTAATTTTGCTGTTTATTGTCACGAAAGGCTATGTGAGGCTTCTTATTTTTTTTTTTTGACAAACAGTCAAAAGGCACATCAGAAAAAATGTTTTTATTGTAAGAAATAAGGAAAGTTAAATGACTAATTTATAACATTTATGAGGTTTAATGCTTTATTTCACAAATGTGCACACATATCTAGGTTTGCGGTATTAATGCTTGCACGCATTGAATAAAATTAAAAATACGAATTATATGAATTAAGGGCTTATGGTGGGAATTGCAGGGCAGATGACGTTAGGTTTTGATAAGTTTTATTTGAATTTTAAAAGTTTTGATAATGTTTATATGCAAAAAAAAATAATTTTTAATAATTTTAAATTAAAAATTGTGAATTTTATAGGAATCGAACCTTGAAACTGTTAGATAAAATCTCAAATTGCCTTGATTTTCTTAAATGTATTTTTTAAAACTAGTTAAAATTAAATAATATAAAAAAAGAAAAAAAATTATAAAAAAAAAAAAATCGCTACTATAAAACCACTTAAATTATACTTGACAGTTAAGGACTTGAACCTTTGCTAGATTGTTATTAAAATTGATTTAATTTCTAAAGCTTCTATTTTGTGTAAATAATTCCAACAAATTTGAATTTATGTCTTAAAAGTTGTCGAAATATTCCTCAAAAGTATCAAAAAATTAAATAAACTTAACAAATCAAATCAAATTACACAAAAACCAAATTAATGCACTTTAATTTGATTCTGTTAAAATTAATTCACTTGCATTCGTCTATGATACACAACGCAGACTTTATAACAAAACTATTTAATTCATTATACAAATAAAAAAAAAAAATTAAAACCGCAATGTAGACTCACTCACTCATTTAACGTGTTTAATGCCATTTAATGCAGCAAAGCATTGTTTCCATTTTCCTCACTCATTTTGTCTGCCTTACTCACTCCGTCTTGTTAGTTATTCATTTACCTCATTTCGTGTTATGATGATTCTCTCATATTTCTTTCTTTTGCCTCATATTATTATTATTATTATGATGCATATAGCAAGTATTAAAAAATAGTTTCAATCATCGCAATAATGCACTTTTTTATTGCTGTTGAATAATGAATTAATTATCTTTGAGCTTCTTTCTTTCTTTTCTTCTGCAAAATAAAATAATGCGGTTCATGTTAAATGGTAGAAAATAAAGAGATTGAAATGTGCAATTCTGAATCAATTTTTTTATTGATGATGATCAAGATTATTATGAAACTAGATTAAGGGAACTAAAGAGAGTACTTTTTAATGAGTATGTGAATTTATGATTTAATGATTTATGATTTTATGATATGAGTGTTTGCAGATTCTGGTTTGATGATAAACCATTGTATTCTAGACTTTGTTTACTTGTAATCAGCGTAGATGTTTTTTTTTAATTGGATCAAGATTTATAAGTTTTTGACATGGAATGAGTCTTTACTATGTGTAAATTGGTCTTGTATAATTTATTGAGGATTTAAAGAGAAACAATTTTTTTTGGTTAAGGTGTCTTTACATTATCGTTTTAAGTAAAGATGGATTCACACAGTAGCTTAAGGTGCCTCAGCATTTTCTTTTTAAGTTAGGATGTTTTCAAAATAAAGCTTCATGTTAAGTTGTCTTCACACTATATCCGTAGCGTAGGTTCATTCACACTGAACCCTTAGGTTAAGGTGCATTCACACTACTTTAGATTAAAGTGCCTTCACACTTTATCTTCAGATTAAGGTGCCTTCACACTCAAGCCGTAGGTTAATGTGCATTCACACTTTATCTTCAGATTAAGGTGCCTTCACACTATATCTTCACGTTAAGTTGCCTTCACACTTTATCTTCAGATTAAGGAGCCTTCACAATATATCTTCACGTTAAGGTTACAACCAGTGTAAATTCCCTCAAATCAAGACAATTTGCAATACATCCAACCAATTTTTCCATCAAAACATCACCTCAATCAAATTAACCTCATCAAATTATTTCACAATCTATTTTTTTGCCTTATTTAAACAATAATTTATAAATTAACTGTACTATTTATTAAAGTAAAAGTTAATTTCATATGATTAGTTTCTATTGCCATAATAAATTTGACCAAAAGTGGAAGCTCCATTCATTTCAAATGATCATTAATAAACCACTTTGCAATTATCAAAAAACCACTGTCGGCGATGAGTGATTGTCATCAGTTGTGTGGATTTTAAACAGCTATTGATGTAATGTAATATTCGATAATTTTCATGTTCATGGAAGAAATGAGCTAGTTTCTTTTAAAATGTGGATTAATTGTGGTTCTTGTACAGTTTCGTCAACAGGAACTGACTTTATAGACTCAATAAATCATGAACTTTATGACACGAATTGTTGAAACGCGCCAAATATCTTAATGAAGGAAGTAAAACAAACTAAAATTTTAAAAATTCTAAAAATTGAATTAATCTATATTAGATTTGATTTATAACATTCATTTGTGCAGCTAGGCACTACTTAGAATTAATATAAATTCAGACTTATGAATAAATTAACGACATTAATTAAACAGAAGCAAAATCACACATTTGCTTGCCTCCAAAACAGCAGCAAAGTAATTTTTTATCTCAATATGTTAATTACAATATATTAATTTCACATTAAAGCTATAAAAAAATTATTTAAAATTGTCAGTTCCTCGAGTTTTATTTTCGAATTTCAATTTATGAAAATAAAAGAGTTTGTTGGTTTATAAATTTGTATTCAATGATAAATTAAAAATATATCATGGAGTATTTGAAAGCATTGGAACAGATTAATAGCGAAATAATTGTACAGATAAAGCTACAAATTTGTAATTAAATAGTAATTAAGTTGCAAATTTTCTCACTGACTTAACATGTTCGAATAAATCGAATAAAACTTAATTAATGTGGATGTATGGATGAGTGGTCTGCATTTTTAAATGAATTTGAATATCTAACGTTTTTTAAAAATTTGAATTGAAGAGAATTAGTCAATTGAAGTCAACTTCACTCAGTATTTTTTGAAAGTTCAACCAAACTTTTATTTCAAATTTAGAAAAACTGTTAAAACTTCAAAATATTTTTTAAATTTTGCTTACTTTTTTATACAAATAAAGAATTCACGAAAAAATATTCCCACTTTAAGGAAAAAGAAATCTTTAAAAATCACATAAAATAAATTAATTAAACCATTTAACACAGTTAATGTAGATAAAAATGTACATTAGTGACATAAATCTCTCAAATTTTCGTTTCATCACAATTTAAAAGCTTAAAAAATGTGCACATTCATGTGTAAATTACATATTCATATTGTAACTAAACTGACGTTTTCCACCTCAAGAAGTTTCACAAACACAAAAAAATAATATAAATAATTGGATGGATGGATAAAGTTAAATTCTTGCAGATCATTTTTATGATAATTGTTTCCGGTTGTGTTACGTAGAAGTTCAAGTAATTTATTAAAGTGTCTCTAATTGGACTTTTAGTATCTTCCTTGTACAAGAGCAATGAAAAAATGTAAATAGCAATAAATTCTCAACTCACTCCATTCTTAAGAAATTCTTTGTAAAACTCATGAGCAATTATAGTTTGGGCATCTTAATTATTAATTCTCTTAATAGCCACAAGTTGTGCATGAAAAAAAATTTTTTTTCGTCTTTTAATTTACAATTCAATTCGAAGAGAATTTAATTAATAGGCATTTTCGGTTTCGAAGCATTAAGAAGTGATTATACACGTCTTTAATCTAACATAACCATCGCATTTCTCTTTCTGTCATCCATTTAATTTTTATGCAGCTTTTTTTAAATGAAAATTTAATTAATTTGTGAAATTTGTCACCTTTGAGTAAGAATTAAGCATTTTTTGAAAAACGTTAAAATTTGAATTTTTTTGAATCGTTAAAATTTGAATTTTTTTGAATCGTTAAAATTTGAATTTTTTTGAATCCTTAAAATTTGAATTTTTATGAATCCTTAAAATTTGAATTTTTGGTAAAAACCGGTAAAATTTAAACTTTTAAAACCCGTTAAAATTTTAAATTTTTTGAAAAATCATAAAAATGCGCTATGACTTTAGTCTCATCCAAAAATTAAGCTTGCCTCACAGCACCAAGCTGTTTGAGCTTAACGGAGAAGAAGGAACTAAAAGAGAAGAAAAACACAAGGGAACTAATAGCTGATAACAATCTCTTAATTTTTCTGGTTTACGTATATTTTATTTTATATATATGTAAAGTGGTAATGTAAGGTAACTTGCAATGATCTCACTATGGTGGCAACTTGAGCGTAAACTTTTTCTCTTTCCTAAAAGGCGTTTTAATGTGTTTTTCTCATTTTTATTGCCTATTACTTCTAATATATTAAGCACTTCACAAAAATCCCCCAGCAATTCAAGGTGCTATTTATATTAAATTCATTATTCTGATTAACTGTTTCAGTAAATAATTCTTAATTTTTTAACATTTATGTGCTTACCTGTGTGGATTATTTTTGGTGCTCTTTTTTTATTGTGGTAATTCTGTATTTATTCTTATTTTTCACGACTCACGACGATTTTGTTCAAATGTCACTCAAAAAAAAAAGTTCTCAAGTTCCCTTCCGAATTCAGTTTCTCAGTGAATGTGAAATAAAATGAAAACATGTTTTCATGAAATTTAATGTTTAACAGCATGACTTAAAGTCAAACACGCAAAGGAATATTTTATTGTAGGACAAAGTCGAAGGTTTTATGGTTTTCAGTTAAGGGGCCGTTCACTTATGACGTCCGGGGGGGTCAGCAAGAAAAGATCAATAGAAATTCCAGGAAATCCATTGTTCTTTTTAGAAAAACGACCGTTAATTTTGGACGTCATAAGTGAACGACCCCCAAGTCTTGTTGGTAAATGATTTTTTTAAATTATAACGGTCATTTGTGATTTGAATTTTTCACGAGGGGGGGGGGGGGGGGGGGGTGTTAAATCATTATGAATTTTTTTATAAATTTAAAAAATTTCCCTGAGTGTAAAGAGAAAATAATTTTTTTTGTAGCGATAAAAAAAGTGTTTAAGTTCATATTTCATTTATATTTAATTTCCATTTTTAGACCATTTTCCGGTAGTGGTCACCCTATATAAGATTATCATAACTCTAACATAAAAAATTACCTTATGCATTCATAACAAACAAAATCTAATATTTTATTTAATAACTCATAATAATAATAAAATAAAATTTCCATTTTTGTACGTGCAGGTGACAAGGATGACGAAGGACGCAATCCAAATGATTTGAATGGTTCATCATTAAGTAAAAAGCAGAGAAAGGCGAGGACAGCATTCACAGATCATCAACTACAGACATTAGAAAAAACATTCGAGCGTCAGAAATATCTTAGTGTACAGGATCGGATGGAACTAGCAAATAAGTTAGGATTAACTGATACACAAGTCAAAACGTGGTATCAGAATCGAAGGTAAGGAAATCTTACTAAACATGGATAATTTTCCATTCATTAGCAATCGTTGATTCGCCCTTTACCATAGTCGTTTGGTTTCTTTTATGTAAATAATTTTTAACGCCTACCATCAAATCAACCAAATTGCTTTATGACCATAAAGTATTCCAAAGAGGCGTTCAAATATTTGTGTATGAAATTTTTTATTTAAACACGCCTGAGCCCCCCGAAAAAAAGAAAGAATTGAATTGAATTGCCTATGAAAAGAAACGAGAATGAAACGAAAAACACTTAACGCATCATTGACTTTAATGATCCAGCAATTTTGTAATACGTGATGTTTAAAGAGTCGTCTAAAAATATTATTGTTGAAAATAGGCAACTAATAAACAATTAGAGTCATTCGCGATAGTTACTCGTGTTGATTCTCGTGTTGAAGTGTATTCAATTCTCTTGGGTTGAGTTATGCTTTTGTTTGAATTTTGGATCGAGCTAGATTTTATCCTCTCGGGTCGAGCAAAATTTCATCTTGTAGGATCGAGCTGAATTTGATCCTCTCGGTTCAAGTCAAATTTTATCCTCTCGGTTCAAGTCGAATTCTATCCTCTCTGGTCGAGCAAAATTCTATCTTCTTGGATCGAGCTGAATTTGATCCTCTCGGTTCAAATCAAATTCTATCCTCTCGGTTCAAGTCAAATTCTATCCTTTTGGGTCGAGCAAAATTCTATCTTCTTGGGTCGAGCTATATTTGATCTTCTCAGATCGAGTTAAATTTGATCCTCTCGGGTTGATCTAAATTCAATCCTCTCGGGTCGAGCTAGATTAGATCATCTCGGAATGAACTAGATTCAACCCTCTCACGTCGAGTCAAACAATATTTGATTCGATGCTTATATTCTCCTTCGAATAGAAACAACAGAACCCCCAACTCATGTCAACACTGTAGCGCAATTGAAAAAAAAGAATCCAAATAGAAAATTGACGGCAATAAACATGAAATATTCATCATAGGCGTATAGGGATCATTTAGCGGTGTTTATTTAGAGCTTATTGCTCAAACAAAGAAATAGTGATGCTTATAATTTAACTAAGTAGTGAGTAAACCAAAAAAAAAATCACTGATGATGTTGTTTATTAGACATTCGTTGCTGGCAAGAAGATGGGGAAAATGCTCATCAATTACAATTGAAATTAAGCTTTTTAAATGAATGACTTTTACAACTGAATTAAATTATATATCAAATGAAGAAGAGAGAAGATAAATCAGAAATGAAAAATTGAAGGAATTTCATTTATTTCAGACTGATTTGTGTTTATATTTTTTACTGTTCGTTCCTTTAGGGGGAATGATTCAGTTCCTCTTGTCTTTGTTTATGATGGAATTGTATAGAATGTTTTGAGAAAATTGTTTTATTTCTTTATATTGCTAATGGGATAAAAGATTTGATGAGTTTAATTGAATCAATATTGTTTTGGTTTTTGGGGATTATTAGGAAATGACTAGGATTAGACGATGTGGTAAGGATTGAGTACATTTGGTTAGACTAAAGTAAAATATTGCTGGTTTGATCAAATTTAAATTCAGATTATTTGAGTCAGCTCGAATTGAGCTGAATTGAGCCATCTCAGGTCGAGCTGAGTTGAGTCATCTCGGGTTGAGCTGAGTTGAATGTTCTAGGATCAAGTTAAGTTCAGTCATCTCGGGTCGAGCTGAGTTCAGTCATCTCGGGTCGAGCTGAGTTCACTCATCTCGGGTTGAGTTGAGTTGAGTTTTCTCGGATCGATTTAAGTGGATTCGTTGAAGTGAAGTAATCTCATGCAATTGAAAATTCAATAATCTCATCCACAGACAGTGCAGTAGCAATCATAGTATTGGCACCAGAAAATTTAATCTAAAATCAAGAACTTTTAACATCTTCCATAAAATTAGTCTCGTTAATTATTAAAGTTCGTCCCCTATTCTTTACCTTTAACTGACACAGACACTAATTATACTCTCTACACCCAGCAAATCTTTTAATGAATGTAAAAAGAGAGAATAAAAATTGCACAAGACATTAAATGAAGTAGAAATGAAGTTTTCCTACTAAGTAGTATTTAAAAAATTGACAGGTCTATAAGATACGATAACAAAATGTTACGCCAGGCGCCATAAGTGTTAAGAAGAATGTGAAAAGAAAAAAGAGATGCGTAAGAGATGTAGCAAATCTATACAACACACAGTCACTGCCTTCTAGTTTATGCCGACAGACCACAACTCAGCATTTTTTTTCTTTCTTTCTTTCACAAATAAAAAAGAATGTTTCATTCAATAAATCTCAACTTACTAATTATCTATCGAAACCGCAAAATAGAATGAATTGTTATAGGAAAAGGAAGGTTGGGGCAGCAGTTATAGAAAATGAAATGAGAATTCATTCATGAATGCAAGCAGGCAAAATGTATTTAACGTTTTAGAAAAATGAGATATTACACTCATTAACTAGCTTTGACTTCTCTTCTTTATACTTTCATGCCTTTGTAAGAATGAAATTATTCACTTATGGCCACTGCCACGGGTACGTGATTGTATACTTTTAATACATATAAATAGCAATTTTCATAAGCGACAAAATGCGACAACGACGAGACATTTTTCTTTCATAGTTTTCCCATTCCACTCTGTCTCGTCCTCCCCTTTTGCACGATTTACATTTTTTAAGCATTCTGTTTAACCCATTGTGCAGTCAATTTGCATATTTCTGAGGCATCAAAGCGTGATTTATAATTTATTACATTTTAACCAAAACGATACATATATGTGAAATTCAATTGGAGTGGTAGAAAAGTTGTCATTGCTTGAGGGGTGGATAGAGCGCAGGTTTAAATTTAGAGATTTGATATTAAAGGCTGTGTAACGGTTTTCTAAAATTCAAACAATTAACCGTCTTTTAAAGTTTGAATTTTTAACGGCTTTAAATTTTTTAATATTCTTGAATACGTTACAAATACGTTTAAAGAGTTTCCTAATGTTGGAAAAAGACAGTCCAAAAATCAAAGCCACATCACAACTCTCTTCTTGAATCCCAGCTAATAACAAAAAGAAGTTTCCCGTATTCAAATTGTCGAAGCTAATCGTCCTAAAACGGACTGCATAGGAATGATTTATTGCACATTTCTCTCTGCCACAATTACAATTGCGTGATTGTTGATGTCAGAAAAATTAAAATGTAAAAGAAAAAATTAAATTCATCAGAATAAGAGAAGTGGAATGAAAATAATTTATTTCCGCAAGCAATGGAATTGAAATGATCATAAATGTTGGTGATATTTCAGAAATGCAGATGTAGAAATGATTCGTTTTTGGCCAAAAGACATGAAGTTTTATGCGATGAGATAAATTCATAATTAAATGTTATCGTAGAATGGCTAAAAGAGATGATTCCGTTGTTCGGACAAACAGCACAAGACCCATCATTATTCGATTATACGCAAGTAAATATTCCAACAGCAATTTCATCTAATTTCTTATTATTAGTCGGAATAAATTGTAATTTTATTGCATAAAACATTAACAGTTTGACTAAATGAGGCATAATAGTTGCTGTGTTGCGTGATAATTTGCTTCCCCCATTTCGACTTTACCGTCTTTATTCGTATAGGATATTTTCATGGGCAAGAATATTGACCACTTACAGCTAACATTATATCCTAACCACAACAAACTATTTGCTGATAAATGATAAGCACAAAAAAAAACCTATAACTTATATGGAGAGTCATTAAACAGACCAAAAATATGTTAAAAGGGGTTGAAGTCAAAACATTAAGTGGAAATGTGGAGATTCATGGTAAAAAACTGCTCATTACATTTATTGCTTCCATTTAACTTGAAGTTAAATCAAAATGAGCATCGGAAAAGCTCAATTCGAAAGGCATAAATGATATGCAATTATATTTGTGCTGTATATAAAGCAGCAAAAATAAAAATAAAAAAAAATTTGCATGCCGATCGTTTTGCATAAAATCTCAATTTAATTGAAAATTGTGGGGTTTTGATGTGAGCAATTTTTGCAGATCTCCATTTGGTTGTGCCTTGCAATTTTTGGCCATATTCATAAAGTAGCCTCTTACTGTTCCATAAACAAAGGTTATTTGAGGAGGAAAAGTTTTCCTTGTGAGGATTTTGATAGAATTGCAAGTTTGAGGTTGTTTTTGCTCAAGAAGCACATGTTGTGATTTTGATAGCTTTATTTGTTGTGTTTTAGCCACAAGACTGCTTCTTACAGATGTTTACAGGATTTAATATCAAATTTAATACTTTGCTGTAATGGAATCAAATTCCTGATGATTTCTCAACTGAGGTTGAATTGTTTAGAAGCTAAGTAGAGACTCTGTGCATGTTGTGTGACAAGCTTTGTTCTGTAATCTCCAGAGCATGTGCATCCTGACCAACTTAGTGTTTAATCGATTATTTGTACAGAAGAAGCTGAACAATGCCAATAATTTAATCAGCTTATATTCCGCTGGCCTTATAGATCAATTATTGTTCATAAACATTCATAGAAGTCACCAAAAGCTGACTCTCACTTGCCAACTATACTGTCTATTTCAATAGCTCAATTAACAAAGAGCTAGATTTAAGCTTAGATCTAATTTTTTGTGGATTAGAGCTCTTTAGAGCTAATCGTATTCAATTGACCCTCAAAATTTGAGAGAAAAGTCATTTAAGCTTCCTTTTATATTGATTAACCAGCTTTGAATCTTTACACTTAACCTCAATGTTTCATACAAAAACTCCCAAACTTACTACAAGGACTGAATTCGAAAAAAATTATATTTCTTAAAGCATCGTTTAACATCGAATGAAACTTGCAAATAAAATAATTTTCATGTATATAGCAAAAAAGTTTAAAGAAGAAGTAACAAAAAATAATTGACCATAAATGTTGGGCTGTTTGGCCATAACAGAAAAAGGAGAAAGTGGTCAACAGAAGCTTCCCTTCTACCTACTCGATAAAATAAGTGCTCGGTACGGATAGAGGTATTTTGTAAGAACTTTAATTTGTGCGATTTTATCAAAATTATAGTTGTATGTGAACTGAAAAGAGGTCTTGTGTGCTGCAAATAAATAAATGCTCATAATTTCTTTTCGCATTACAATACTGAGGTAAAATGCGCCGTTACGTTCAAGTAAACAGTCCTTTTCCGTTTCAGTTTCAAAATAAAAATACTGCATTTTAATAATTACAGACATTTTTCACATGAGAGCCTCCTCATTGTCCGAGCACAGCAGTGAGAGAATTTAATTTTTTGCTGTCTTAAAATTGAATAATTTTTTTTTTGGTCTGTCTTTTAGTCACATGATATGTGGTGTTCAGGAGGGGGGAGAACATTAAGAGAAACCAAACTTGACTTGAAACCGGAAGCATTTAGCAGACTATAATTATTTATGAATTTTTATCATTAATTGCATGAATAATAAAATATTAAAAAAAAAAAAAAATTTATGACATATTTTTTTTTCACATTCTAATTACAGAACAAAGTGGAAGAGACAAACAGCAGTGGGGTTGGAATTATTAGCAGAAGCAGGAAATTATGCAGCATTTCAAAGTCTTTATGGTCGTCCACCATACATGGGTGCTTGGCCATATCCTCAAGTACCTACTGGAAATCCAACAAGCACCATTGATCTCTATTATCGACAAGCTGCGGCTGCTGCAGCTCTACAGAAACCTTTACCATATCGTATCTATCCGGGGGGTGCACCTGGCATGTCACCACTTGCAATTCCTGGACCAAGTATAGCGCAATTTTCTCATTTAACCACAGCAAATTCTCTCACATCACTAAGCAATTATTGCAGCACAAATAGTAGTAACAGTCACGATTCACGACGCTCCCCAAGTCCCACACTTAATCCAGGCAGTCCCGAAGGACGACGATCTGAGAGTCCAGCACATAGTGATGAAGACGACACAATTCAAGTCTGAAATTGAATGGAATATGAAGGGATTTTGAAGCCATTTTTGCATAAAATTGAAACCAAACACAATTCAAATTCGATTTCATGACAGAAAGGAATAAACAAAAAATAAGAAGTAAGGCGCAAACGTGAAAAAGAGAGAATGTTAGCGATGAAATGTCTGTAAATATAATCAAGAGAAAGGGATATGAACATTAAGGAAGTAAAATAAATATAACACAATGTTTCATGTTGTCGACGAGAATGACACAAAAAGAGAAAATCGAAAAAAAACACATTTTTTTCTAGTATGAAATCATTTGCAGTGTTGCTGCATATAAACTGTAAAACTCGTTCTTGATGTATGTATATTTACTTAGTAATTAATGTTCAAGTTAAATATTTGGAATTTTAAGTTTTGAAAATCACGCGATGTGTGGAAAAAATATGGAATGGAATCAGATTGAGAGAATTTTGATTTGATTGAGGTTCTTGATTGTTTACGATCTAGGAGGAATACTCTATATTTTTTGGGTTCTCCTAAAATTTGAACTTGATTTGATTCTGAGAAGAATTTATTTTGTTTCCGAGAAGATCAAATAATATTCCGAGATGATTTAAATCGAAATTTAAACAGTTTCAATATTTCTTTTGAAATTCAAATTTATTTCCAAGATGATAGAATTTTCAATCTGAGAGGATTGAATCTTAAACTGAGTGGATTGATTTTAGTTGAAAGGATAAAGTTTCTCTGAGGAGACAAAATGAATTTTTTGATGAATTGAAAGTTTGTGAATGACGTCATTTATAAAAAAAAAAACTTTATGAGTAAGCAAATGACCAGTTTATAAACTCACAAACCATTAATTACATTCCAATTATAGTAAATCTTGTAAAATAATAAATCCATTAAGAAGTTTTAATATAAAAATTTTAAACCTTAGCTGGATAAAAGCTTTTAAATGAATGAAATAAAATAATCATGTAAAAAAATTCACATGACAAATTCTCCAACAATTTTTTTTAAAAATATTTTGCACATACGTAAAAATAAAGTAATTAAAATCTAAGATTAAAGATAAGCTAACGAGAATCGAGAGATTTAATCAAAAATGTATAAATATAAATGTATTTTTTTAAAACAATTTCCTCTGATTCTCACCAAATTGTAATAAACATTTTTATGTTTTCATTGAAAAAAATCTCATTTCCTTTAAACGAGTCTTAACAAGAAAGATGATTAAAGTTTGAAATTTATTGAATCTAATGTGAAAATGTTGATTATGAGGAAAAGTTTAATCGATGATATTTTTTTGTTAAATTCCTTTAGTTATTGGTGGTATTCAGGGTTGGTGAACTTTAAAAATTTTTTTTGAAATTTATTATTTTAAAAGTTTAAAAAAATTGAAAAAGAATTTTAAAAATAGATTTCATAAATAAATTCTTTAAAATCCACTAACCCTGGACCCCACAAAAAAATCAATTTAACCCAAAACTGTACAAAAAAAATCCAGTAAATGTGAATCATTAAATAATTTTTTAACATTTAATTTCATCAATAAAAGCTAAGTACATCGATACTTATGATCATAATTCTTAAGTAGCTACAAACACGAACATATTCACACTAAATATGTACATGATACATGTTGATGCTTGCATTAACAACTTAATTGGTATTAATAATAATAAAAAAAAATCAATTTTAAAAATACAAAAACAAAAGTTTATTTTATTTTCATAGAATTTTTTTTTGTTTTCAGAATTAATAATTCATAAAAATAAAGTCTAGATGGGAAATATTTATGTAGCCTAATGGTCGTTAGGAGAAAATTACATCCATTTCAATAGACAAATAAACATTTTTATGTTGTTTTATAAAGAGGAACATGTAAGCTTTTAATGGAACTATAAATTAAATAAACGAATGAAATAAATAAAAAAATATGAACGAGTTTTCAGGTTTTAACTTCGTTAATAATGCTTGTTTTATTATGGATATGTTATGGGTGCATTATTCAGGTGAGAAAAATGTTATGCATTTAAATGAAGTTGGGAACTTCGTGTGGTTGAAATTAAAGTCTAGTTTTTATATGGCTTTTATTAAATTATTGTGGATATTAACACAGAATCAAGCGAATAATGGAAGAGGAGGAGGGGGGTCTGTTGCCATAAGTTTTCATACCAAGGTATGTACCTAGTCACAAATGGTGGATGATTTCAGAGTTTCTCAACTCTGAGCCCGATCGACATACATTGAAATTCATTGAAATGATTGCAACCCGGCGCCTGGATTGATGCTTTAATTGGAACCAAACGGCAATCACTTGGTGCCCAGTTGAATTGGCTTGGTTCGAATTATATTATCAACCCGACCGTTGGGTAGCAGACATTTCAATGAATTTCAATGTGTGTCAATCGGGGAGGTCTCTTATGACAATCGAACCCAAATCTTTACAACTTTTCTTTTTGTTCCTCAGCCACTCGACCATAAACTTTGAAAATATTCTAGGAAAATTTTCTGCATAAATTTAACTGTTATAACTTTTAAAAACTTAAAGCCTCATTTATTTTTTCATGAATAAATTCTCAACGTCCACATAACCACATTTATTTATACTACAAAACAAAAAATTGCAGCAAGATAAATTGCGTGTACATAACGTTTAATTCTACCCGAATGCACTTATAATTACGTTTTTATGTAATTTTATTTTTTTCGGAAGTTTTTTCGCTCTAATGAAAACAATTTGGAGCATTTTTCTTGTATTTTGCGGATAATATTTTGTTAATATTGCGTTTTGTTGAGGAACAGACTTGAAGTAAATAGACACAAATTAAACTATTGCATTGTAGTAATTGATTATAAAACAAAAACCGCAAATGGAAATAAATGTTGTGTTTTTTTTAATACAATATTATGAACATATGCGTCACATTTCACATGATATTCTTCATACCCGTCGCCTGAAGGAAATCGTCGAATCATTAACCAAAAAATAATTGGTTTGGTTTTATTTTTTAGGCCGGAACAACTCAGAAAGTGCCTCAAGACTCGTAAAGTAAAGAACTTTTTAATAGTAAATTATAGTTTCATGCCCTTTTTTGTCAATCGCATCAATTTCATTCGTTAATTTCAGTTCCATTGTTGTTGAGCGAGTTTTTGAAGAGAAATCAAAAATTGATAGTTTTGTGGGTTATGTAATTGCCAGCTTATAGTCACTGATCTTGACTTTTTTGTTCTTAATTTCCTGTTCTTTTGGGCTTGATGAATTGAAGAAGTTCGTGCTTTGCTTTTGACTCTTTTGTCTATCGACTGACAACTATACATCTTGACTAGGCTATGAAATGAGCTTTTTGATCCCATTTGTATTATTTTTTGGTTCAGTCTTGATCTAGGTTTAGAAAAAATATGACATAATTTGAAAATTAGAAAAGCTTTGCAGGATCTACTTAAAATCCAATCTAATCTAATTTAGGTTCCTTAAAAAGAGGACTAGTATCATTAAGGAACTCAAACATCATAAAATGCGTCTCATCCATCAACTCCAAGCATTATCTACACTATTCTTAATTCTCAATGTAAAGAATGTGATCAAACAATTACAAAGCATCTTCTCATCATCAACAATTCCGTCAATAACAATAAAACAAAATGAACAGATGTCATGAAGACTACTGTATTCACCTTCTGTTACCTTACATTTGCCTATTTAGTACTCATGTCTACTTTAATGTCGCTCAAAATTGTATTTTTTCTTCGTTTCCATTTTTTGGTTTCTTGTGTTATTAATGATGTGTTAAAATTATTCACGCTTCCTTTAATCTAAAAGTATTTGTGTTGAAACTATTACCCAGCATGTATCGAATTATTTTTTAATTTTAAAACGATAATAATTTTCATTTTATTGCTTCATATTGTTTATTGATGGGTTTCAAATGAGAAAAGGAAATTGTTTTCAATTAATTGATTGATGATCGATTGGAACTACTTTTTATTAAAGTGTGAAGATGTAATGATATTTTTTTAGGGGTTCGGGTGGTGTTTTTTACTGCTGTGAATTTTTAATTGTTGTTAACAATGCTGTTTTGCTGTTATTGAAGTGATGATGTTTGGTCATACATAGTTGGATAATTAATAATCAAAATAGATTGGTGCTTAGGATGGTTGATAGATTTCTAGCAAGCTCTAATCCTTAACTTTACTGGTCAAATATGTAAGGCGCTTGGCTCAAATTTGGGATGATAACTCGAAGGTCGTCGGTTCGAATCCAGCCATTTTTTGAAAAAAATCTTCTAGGCTAGCTTACTTTTTGTTTGCACAACTTCCAATCCTTAGTTAAAATCGTTCCTTAAATGCTATTGATCATTGAGAACAGAATAACATCAAAATGTATGAAGAAACACACTCATATTTGTCATCTTAGGGGTCGTTCACTTATGACGTTCAGGGGGGGGGGGGGGTCAGCAAGAAAAAAATTATTATTATTATTATTTATTTGTCGACGTTACCGTCCGGAAGAATTAGTATTTATACATGTTTTACTTTTTACATTGATTAGTGATGCATTTCATAATACTATGGTTAACGTAGAATCAAGCTTCTAATCTTCAAATCTAGGTTTCGATTAAATTCAGGCTCTCGTTTCAATCTTCTGTGGGCGTGACGTGATACATTTCAGGTCCGTTCTGACAATATTCCATTATAAGGTAATCTTGTAGCTCTTGTTCCTATTTCTCCCGCTACACTTCAAGTTCCTGATCCGTTCCTTAATCCAACGGATTAATTTCTTGGAATACCATTGATCTTTTTTGAAAAATGACCGTTAATATCCGACGTCATAAGTGAACGACCCCTTAGCTACAACTCTCCTAAAGTTCTTAATCTCATAAGACATCTAACAGTGTCTCAAGCAATTTATATAAAATTAAATTAATAGTTGATTCAATTTCTTCTGAGAAAATTCATCAGCTTGAATAAAATTCCTTACATCAATTAGACTTCAAAGCACACTCAAAAGTATCATAAATGAATAGTAAATAATCCCTCTGTGGTATTTCACTACATTATGATGAGACCATGGAAACTTAAACTTACTATTCAATTGAATATAATTCATCATAAAACCATTCGTTTCATCCATTCATTTAGTATTTATAAATATACCATTAAATATAATAATTTTCTAACCACCACTAAAAGGGGTAAGTTGAGGAACAAATGTACATTACTATTACATCACTTTCATATATTATTCATTCAATTATTTTCATCTCACTGCATTTAATTGCTATTTATTCAGTAAAAAAATTATTATTACGAATTCTAATGATAAATGTATTACATGACAAATTTATAAATCTTCATGGTGACAAATGGCATTTTCTCTGTGTAAATAGTAAGAGTGTCGCATAATTGAATTGAGAATTAAGAAATAAGACGAAGAAAAGTTTGACAAAATGTTTTTTTAATTTCATTATGAAACTTGTGTGAAATCATTATTAGACTGTAGAATTTTTGAAGAGAAATAAAGTCAATTTTTTTGGCTTCTTCGTACCAATGATGAGGTTAAAATTACATGAAATCCATTTACGAGCATTTATGAGGAAGAAATGTATGAGGAGGTTGAGAAATGAGTTGGATAGGCACTTGGAATTGGGTCTTGTGTATAAAATAATGGAGTTCTGAACAGACGAAGGACTACAATGGGAAAGGTTCAATTTATGTTCGAAATTTGTTTGGCGCCAAAACAGCTTTTGATATTCGAAATACTGTCTTTGTCTATACACAGAGCACGTCCAAAACCAGAGTTGTCAGACCTCACCAGAGTATTGTAAATTTTGACTTTGTCCTGGTAACAACTATGTATAGGCATGCCTAGCCAAAGACAAAAAGTGTGTCTAGTCAAACGAATGACTACAAAAGGCTCAGCTAAAGTAAAGCCAAAAATATTGCATATTTCTAGGCATTGCCTTTGGCCAGGTATGCCTTGACAAAGGTAAATTTTGAAGCCTTTCTAAAGGCAATGCCTGGGATAGATTTTTGGTCTTTGATAGGGAATTGATAGTTGACAACTCTGTCCAAAACGACTACCAAGCTGCCTTTACTCATTCCTATCACAAAATGCACACTCAAGAATTATTGAAACCCCATAAGAATAATTTTTTTATTCAGCGACTACCGCACATTGACAAAAAGTAAAGGAAAAAAGTTAAATTTTCCATTCAGATGAGCTAAAGATTTATTTTACCTGTCTATGCCACAAAATGTGTGTGCGTGTGTAATTTGAGAAGTAACAGCACATCAATGTTGCATTTATTAATCGATATACATAATGATAATATTTATTAATGAATATCGTTTATTCATTACGAACCCACAAAAATCTGATGGAGAATTTCTATGGATTCTTAAAGCTATAAGGAATATAATCGTAAAATGTGAATGTGCTCAAGGTTCAAAAAGCGTCTAACATTTAATACTTATTGTAATAGGCTTTTAGAGTCCTCGCTTTGTATTCAGTAATTGATATATAAATGAATCGTAAAATGCATCGTTAAAGGCACTTTTGTGGTTTTCCTTCTCCACTTCTTCTTCCTACTTTAGACTCTATTTATGCTTATTTAAGTTGAGAGCAATATTCTCTTGAAGAGCTTCAATGATGTTAATGATGATCCTCTCGAGTATTCTTCAATCATCAATCAATTTCTCACTTGATCCTTTCAGGAATGTCTTTAATGACTCTTAAATTATTATCAATTGTTCAAACTACTTCAAATCACTCATAATTTCGTCTGTTTTGATTGAAAAGCAATTTATAAAGATTTGTCTTCTGAGTGTGAATGAATGGATGAAAAATTTCATTGGCAAGTATTGAAATTAGTTCTTTAATTATACTTAGAGCTACTCGTTCGAATTTGTAAACAGATTTAATTTTGAGAAGGGTACTGAAACTCCTTTAACTCTTAGATTTGAGAATAACTCTATAATTGAATTTCAAAACACGAACTTAAAATTTTATTGATTATTTTACAAGAAAATCTCTGCATTATACATTCAATGAAAAGAAATATAAATTAAAAGAAAGCAAAATTTGGCTGCTGCTGTTTCTGCTTGATGTCGAAAAATGCTCCAACTTTCAATCTACAATTTATCATCGAATGGATTGTAATAATCATTATTAGCTTAATGATCGATTTTAGCTCGATATTTTGTTGCTTTTACTTCATATTTTTGGACTATTAAATATTAATATTGTTATTGTTGCTGCCTATTTCCACCACTTCAATTGATCTGCTGTATATCGTGTGTGTGTGTGTTTGTGTGTGTACGTAACTAAACAAGTACAATAATTGTAGGAGAAAGAGAGGCTGTGGCTCAATTTTTATGGCTATTTTCATAAAGAGTTTCATTTTTATGGAGTTTATGTTCAAGCCAGCGTTAAAATCATTTTTCCAATCAATTCAATCAAGTCAGTTGAAATGATGAACGAATTTTTAAATAGTTCACTTTTTTGTGCCTCGAACAATGAAACGAGTTGAATTAAAGATTCATAATTGCTCGTAAACTTATGTATATCTACTTAATAATAATATGAGCACTGCATGCAGTATGCATCATCAATAACAATGAAATTTTATATATTATCTATGCTGCTGATGCTACCTCGTCATGTATTGAACGTCGTTCACAACAATTGTTAAAGAAAGTCAGAAAAAGTTTAAAGAATAGGAAATTGATGATCTTTCTATCTTTAATATGTTGTGTACGCGTATAAATATGGATAGATATATAGATAGATCAATAGGTAGAGATGAAAGGAATCTACATCCACATATAGTTGGCTACAGTAGTAGTATCATTAAGTCCAATTGCTTGTAGAACTGTTAACAGAAATAAATTAAGGAACCATCATTGACTATTATTAGCCTTCGTTGTTATTCGAGTTGAGTTTGATGAATAGAAATAGAGAGCAATTGACTAACATGATGAATATAGATGGAAACGATTACCATCTCGTTACCACTTCAAGATGAGTTTCTTATTGTTGCAATTTGAAAATAACACAAATAACTTATAAAAGAACATGAAATTCAATCAAGCTGTATTTAAGTAAGAATATGGAATGAAGATCAGTTTAAAGCTTTATTAATGATGTATTTTATTAAACATTTTGATTTTGGATTGGATTTAAATTTCTTGAGGATTTATTTGATGGTTTTTAAATTAAAATTTGATGTGAAAGAATTGTTGGATTTTTATTTTTTCACGAAAAGACTAGTTTTAGGATCATGGTAGAAGTGAACGAAGGACAATTAAGTATTAAGTTTCGTATACTAATCTAACCTTATCATTATTTTCAATTATAATTTTAAAAAATTTCGAAATTCATAAATAAATGGTATTAAAATTATCTTATCTGATCTTATCTATTGGATTAAGGACTCAAATCTTAATTTAATCTATTAAATATATACGTCATTTCCTTAATATCATTCTTCTTGCCGACTTTTAGTCACCTTTGAAATTTTCAATTTGAAAACTTTTCATTTTTTATTTCTTAATTCATAGTAAGTCAAGTTTGACCTTAAAATTCAAATATCAAGCTGCTCCATTGTTTGTTTTCTTATCACCAAAATCGAGATAATCGAGCTCAAAAGTTGTGTGTTTCTTGCCTTTCTTTTCATCTTTATCTTCAAGATCAACTGGATTGAAATCATGTTTAAAGAACTTTCTCATGAATGGTGCTAAAGTTTGTGGATCAACTTTACGTGGATCTTCAAATCCAAAGAAGATACTAAGAATGGAAGCAAGTAGAACGACTAAAATGCCACCAAGAAGTGTGAAATAAAGGTAAGAAATGCTTCTTTTTGGTTCAACTGGGTCAACACCTGGTGCTAATGTGGTTGTTGTAAAATCACTTGATGTGAAATTATAAGAGCATCCATCGGTTGATGTTGGACGTTCATCGTATCTGATTGTTCCTGTTGCAACATGCATTTGATTCTTTAATACATAAACTAAGAATGTGACATAGACAGTAATAACGCTGTAAAATGTAGCACGCTTTCCAATCCATGGAAGCATGAGTCCTATGGAGAATACACCAAGCATAGGTCCAAGTGATGTTGCTGGGATAGTGAATGTCAGTTGCAAAAGTGGTCCCATATGCTGAACAATATAGACTAAAAGAACTGAAACTGTTCCTAATACCAAAACAGTTCCTCTCATAATTATAAATGCTTTTCTTTCTGAAATTTCCTCTTTGGAATATGCCTTGAAAAAGTCCTCAAAGACAACAGCAGCCATGCTGTTATAAGCTGTTGATAATGTACTCAATGCAGCTGCAAAGACTCCAGCAACAAAGAACCCAGCAAGTCCAGGAATATCATTAAAGTTTTCCATCACCATCAATGGCAACAACTGATCTTTTGCTTTTGCTAAACCGGTTGCAAGTGGATCACAATCATAGTAAGTGGCATAAACAAGAAGTCCATTATAGCACGAGACTGATAACATAACAATAATTCCAATAATATTGATAACGTTACTGATGCGAGCCTTTCTCACAGTTTTGAGTGCCATAAATCTTTGAATCATATTTTGATTAAGTCCGTTTGCAGCTATTTGCAGTACGGCATAGCCAATTACTACTGTCCAGAAAGAATGACGAATTGTTGGGTCTAAACGTAGACTGGAATTGAAGAAATATTTAATTGTCAACTTCTGTGGGTTAATTTAGGTGTGACTTACTCTGGTCCCTGAATCCTTCCACTTTCACTATTCCTTTCAAGCAACACACCAATTCCACCAATATTTATTGTTCCCTTAATTGCAATAACGAACAAAGTCACATACAAAATGATAACTTGAACAACATCAGTCCTTGAATTTTTAAAAATAGCATGGATTAAAGCATTAACTATTTTTGTTGATAACCATGAAGACAATAGAAATTCCTTACCAAACTACACCTTTCATTCCACCAACACAAGTGTAGAAGATACATATGATCATGACGATAGGAGTAATCACATGAATGTTAATGTTTGTAGTCTGATTAAAAGCCAAAGCTGGTACGTAAATGACCTAGTTTTTGTTTCAGAACAAAAAGAAAAGAAAACTGTGAGATAAAACGTCTAGACTTTCTTTATCCTTATCATAATTTTGATGTTAATCATTCTTAACTCCGAAGATCATTTGCTAGTCAAATGCATTTGCAATTATTTTGGCGGGAATTTTTTCTCTTTGTTTAAACATTATAGTTGTATCCCCTCTAATTGTAAATGTCATAGTTCCAACCCCTTCACTCCACTAATCTTCCTCGGAAATCAATTAGAAATAATCAAATGAACTTATTATCAACTTACAATCGGCAAGAATAGATTGACGCCAATCATGAACATCAACGATCCAAACATTCTGAGCCTCTTATCAAATCGTCTCTCTAGATACTAAAACATCAAGTGCGACAACAAAAGATTGGGAATTTTTGATAACGTCACATGAAGATATAATTAATCCATTCTTTAGAAGCGCAATCTTACCTCGTACGTAGATGTAATTTGAAGATCGTGAAAAACTGGAATAATTATATAGTGCATGACAACACCACATAATGCAACACCAATGACTGCATAGAAGTATTGCATTCCGTAAAGATACATTTCAGTCGCCGTTCCTGTGGGAATTAAGTTCATGCATTAATTTATGACGCGACACAAATAATAATATTTTTATTTAAATTATGACTTTTTTTTCTCACCTAACAACATGTTTCCAGACACTAAGGAAGCCGTTAGTGATAAGGCAATTGGAATAACAGGCATATCACGACCGCCCATTAAATAATCAGCAGCCTGAGCTGTAGAATCTTGTCTTACTAGTCGTTTACGTTTTTTCTGATCTTCTCGACCGAAGTGCAGACCAATGCATATGCAGCACAACAGCATAGCCAAGAAAATTGAGTAATCCACAAATCCAAATGTTTTCATATGCTCTGTCAAATGTTTTAAACTTTCCATTGTTGATGCTTCACTTGAGGATCCAAAAAATGAATCCCCAGTTGTATAGTCTAAAGTTGAACCTTCATTTGTAGATCCTAAAGTTGGACCTTCAGTTGACATTTTAACTCGAATATATTTTTAAACTTTACTCTATGAAGACAAAGGTACGACTGATTCCACTGGAATAAAATAATTCTATTTAACAAAATATCAAAGGCATTGAGCCTCATTTTCTAGATTATGCTAAAGATTTACATTTTTTTGATAAGATAGATTGATAAATGTTATCTGATTTAAGTAGCTGGATTCTACATATCTTTCAATGAAGCTTTTGTGCTGTAAAACAATGAAATTCAATATTCAGTCGTCACTGGTTCATTCTCGATGAAAGACATGCAAAAGTAGAATATTCAAAAATTTGAAAATAATTTCCGTAATGATATTGATGGTCATATGATAACGTAGATTAAGATAAGTTCATTATTTCCTCAGTTATTAGGGTTTTTCCACTGTCTTCAAAAGAATTATCAGATTAAGTCTTATCAGTAATTTAATTGATTTATTGAAAATGATAAGAACAACAACAATAGAAAACTATGAATGAAGACTTGTGAGGTTGATGCCTTAATGACTAATGGGGATTGAAGAATTATTGCACGATGATTCAGATTTTAAAAAAATGTTTAAAAATTCCTTGTGCACAAAATTTTTCCGACACATTAGAAAATTGAAAGTTTTTGTTAATTTCTCTTGATTTAATTCTTTTAGCATCTTCTACATAATGTTTTCGTTCATTGATAAAATAATCAGTCCTTAATATAAAAGTTAAACATGATTTTTTACCAAAAGTTTGTAAAAGTTTATCAAAAAATATTGTGCATGACCATATTTTGTATGAAAATTTATGTAAACTTTTATCGCAAATATCTCGAAAACGGCATGTCCTCAGTAATATGGGAGATAAGCTTAATTAATCGATTTATATAGGTTTCAGAGTGGTCTTTGGAAGACTTTTTAACTTATGAATAGTTTAAGTTTTGTAAAAGTACTCAGATTTCAATTGCATTTTTGAGACTTAATAAGCAGTTTTCTTTTGATTTGGTAGTTTTAATATGCAAATCTAAGCTTAACTTAGCTAGCAACAGCTAGCAAGATAAGGAAATAAAAACTTAAAGTATAGAAAATCAAAGATTTTTTTTCATATGCAAAATGTAAACAAATTTTTGTTGAAAATAAATTAAAGATTTCTGGAGTTAGACATCAAATTAAAACGAGATATTTTCACTGAATATGCATTAAGTTAAGATCTTTAATCTGGCATTTAAAAGATGAAGTTTAATTAATATGTTATTTTTGAATTTTTGAACATTTTTTCCGAATCTGAATCATTGTGCATTGGAAAGTTATCAGTTTGATATGTGATAGGTATTAAGTCGTATGAAACAAATCATTTTTGCTTAAATTTTTAACAAATAAAAATTAAAGTGATTTGCAGTCAATATTACTATCATTGAGCTACTTGCTCTATTGTCGTCACCATAAATAATTTCGACGTTCACTTATTCCATCCCTTCCGTTCCGTACATTATTGAGAAAGTTAAATAAATATATGAATTTTCAATAAGGACAATGTCAATTGAACTGGGTTGTTGGTTAATAAATCAGAAGTGGAAATTCCAACCCCTCAATAAATAAAAATTTATATGTTCAATATTACACGAACGGCAACTGTGTTGAAGTGTCTTTAATTTGAAACAAATAATTATGAGAACGTCAAATTAAAATCACGTTACAGGAATCGAAAATTGGAAATGAGGGAAATTGTATATTTACGATTTAAATGTCATCACTGTTATTTGAGGATAATTATTAAGTTGTTCCTCAAAGTACAAGTCATGGTTGTGGAAATTCGTCATGGTTGTTGTAAATTATTTTAAGAGACCTTAAAATTTAACGGTTTGAAAGATTTTGAATTTGTGTGATTGAACATAGTTGTTTGCCTTTCTTGATTGTTTTGAATTTTTGTTTCATTCTTTCAATGATTTACCATTGATTGCAGAATAAATTTTAATTTAATTATTAGAAACTTGCTGTTTGGCGTTAACTTGAATTGACAAACTTAGCAGCAACTATTAATGTTGCAAAAAATACTAACAAATACACACTTGTTTCAAGGAAATAATCCAAATATTTCACTGAATTGAGCTTATAAATTTGGTAAATCAATGAAATTTTAATTTAACAAAGCAATCTCTGCAAAGTTTCAATCACCAAATGCCTCAAAACATCCTCGACTAAAGAGAATTGACTTTATTTGCAATTTGATTATCGATTCCTTTCTAAATCCGTAATAAATAAAAAAGAAACATTAAAGCTCGATTCATGAAGGATTAAAGTAGAATGTAACGAAAAAGAAATTGGAACATGATAGGGGATTAAAATCATTTTGATTATTTTAGCACTCACTATATGTTCATGTTCATTCATTCAAAATCACTGAATCATAAATAATCTGCTAAAATAGCTTGAGGTCATTTCTTTTAATGCACATAATTTCCATTCATCTCCACAACGAATTGTGATGAGGCTGCTTTTGTCATTTTGCTTAAATAAATCGCTTCATTACATTCAAATCTGCGTAAATCTCGAAAATGTCAACAGATTTTCTAATAAAAATGAACAATTTTTTCAAAAAGATTTAATGAAATAAGTTGAAAATTGGCGTTAAATCACATTTCTCACAATTCTGCTTCACATAATTGGCTTAAAAGGCACAAATTAATGGAAGAATTATAAAACAAAATTTATAACATATGATGATGACTTTCAATATTATTCTTCTTAATGGGATTTAATGTATCAATTAACATCATATTGATTGCCGGATATGGGACCTGTTTAATTGATGTCAGCAGGACACATGATGTTTTCGGCATCTTAAGAATGTCGTTTTTTTTAAACTTATAAGAAAGAAAAATATTTAATCTCACTGCATAGCTTAAATTGTCAGACCTTCAATTAGTCGATTTGAGCCGCCAAATAATCACCATCATCATCATCATTATAAGTCATAGCATGGCACCAAAAAGCGGTAGCTTAATGAATCGTTTTATACGAGATCCACCTTCAATTAAGACTAACAATGCTAGGCATTCGATTTTCAATTGAGAATATATAAAAAGTAATGTTTGAATAATTATTTGGGACATTCTTTGTTAAAGCGCTTTTGGAGATAAGATTGCCATGTTTAATACCTTTAATCCGATGTCTTGTAAACTAGATTAAGGTTTAGCAAGGGGAAAATAACATAAAGGGGAAAAGTAGAAATTTACCATCATGTTGTTTTCCACTTAAGCTATAAATAAAAGACACTAGGAGTAGGGTTAAGTGTTGGTCATAAGTAAGGATGGGATGGAATTGGTAGGATGGAACTAGATCACAAACATTCGACATAAATCCAAAGTGTACTTTAAACCAAATTTTAATTGAAAATGCATGCTGGAATGTTTTTAAACAAATATCGATGAATACCAACATTTTTCATGCCTTTATAGAAATGAAGATTTTTGAGGATGACGATAAAATATTTTTATATTCATTCAATTTCTATATGACTGAAATATTGATGAGATAAATGCCTGGATGATGATGAGTTGAGTGAATCATAAAGTTATTGTGATTGAAAAATTCATCATCATCATTAACGTTGAATAACCTTCACACGGGTCAAATTTCATTGTCTGCAAGTGAATTAATTTATGAAAGAATTGTTATGATAGTCAATGCCAAAGAAATTTGAAGCAGTATGAAAAAAAAGTCAGTAGGATCAATTGAACGTAATTATCTTATCTTTCTCACCGTTGATTTAATTTAGTTGGACCACCCAATGAAATTTACAATATGTGTAATGTAATATCATCTACTGAGTAAGTGACTCACTTGAACTACATAAAAGAAATTACTGACATAAAAAAATTAACTCAAATTACCGATTTTTTTTGTTGTTGTTGCAATTTTTGACATTTAGGGTGAATGGAATTTTTTTATGAGGAGTGCACAGCATGTAATATTTGTTATGCAGGAGGTAAACTAGAGTTTTGCGGGGATTTGTCGAATTATTAACAATTTTCTCAGTATTATTGAATATTATGTAATAACACTGCATGCCTTAAATTATAGAGCCTTAGAGAAATGTCCAATCGGTCCTACCCTTGTACTTAGTCAAGCAAAATCCATTAAGAACCTAATTCTTTCCCAGTTTGTATATAAATCCAGTCTATAATCATCAAATCTGTGTAAACTATATCTAAATCTTGTCATTGACATTTCTCAGCATAAGCATAACACGACGATGTGAAATCAATCGTGAAAGAATAAATAAAAGGCAGTATGATGAATGAAAACTTAGCAATGAATATGCTTTTGACTCTCATGCATTTACTTTTGTAGTCCATTGACATCGGGCACAAATGATAAATCAACATGAATGGAAAAAACTCTTAAAAGTGAACGTTGTGCAGCAATCAGCAGGAACTTAATCACATTTTGCGTACTCAATAAAAGTTGTATTTCAATTGACACGTGTCGTGGCGTGGCATATCCACAAATATAACAAATTTTTAATGTTTCCTCATGTCTAATTTGCTCTTAAAGTGGCAATTGTTTGTCTAATAGATTTTAAGAGACAAAACAAAAATCCTTTGCAGCATGCAGCAGCGATAGACACACACACAAATTAGAGGGGTTAATGATATCCAGTAAAACCACAAATTATTGTTTGTTTCTTCCATTTAAAGTTTTTAACATCAATTTTTCATGCTTAATGCATAAATGGGAAATCAATCGATCTTACTAAATGTCCCCTTTAATCCCTTCTTGCCTAATATGCTTTAGATTTTAAATTTGAAAGCAGTGCACAAGTCAAACAAGGAAGTCATGTGTAAAGATGCATGACTTATGATTAAAATGACCCAAAACTAAAGGAATCAATGTTTATTGCTGTAGTTCCATTGTTATTCTAATTCCATGTTTATCCTTTTAAGAACAACTAGGAACATTTATTCGACTACAAAGCCATTAAAAATCCTTTAATAAATATTTCTAGCAATAAAATTTTACAA